GAGTTTCTCCTGGATTCTCACCGCAGGCGCATGCCGTGGACGGCCGAAAAGGAGTGTGTGCCCGGTGTTGTTCATAGCTCCAGGGAAAAGATGGTGTTGGATGGTGCACGACGAGTGGATGTGGATTGTGTCGACCGTGCATCGCAGGTGTATCCGCTAGAGGCATTGTGGGCGGCCGTGGCCAGTTACGAGTACAATACGTCCACCGGAAGAACATTTTTAATTGGCTTCTCAGGCGGAATCCAATGTAATCAGGCAATGGGTTTACCGCGAGGATTTGCAGGAGGGGACGCACGATGAGGACGCCACCAGCACCGCCATTCATTTTCGTCGCCGCGAGACCACAACGCAGCCTCATGAGACTACACGCCTTGCGGATTTTCCGGGGTGACATGCACTGTTCCGCTTGGCGTCACTGTTCCCCATCCCCGAGCTTCGGTGCAGACTCCCTCGTCGATGCAAGTTCCTATTGATTGCGGACACACACCCATTGATTGATGCGGCCGACACCCCAGCCCATTGCTGGTGCTTCTGGCATGACTGCTGCACCGCCCCCAGCAGCTGGTGCAGTGGGACTGGGGACGAGAACACAGCTGAACAAGTTCAGTCAGATGGTGCTGGCAGCCCTGTCAGCGTCCCGCCGATTCCACCGGCGAGCACAGAAAACGACGGGACAGGGAAGGCATCGACGAAGTGTCAGGACACCAGTTGTCTTCCGACATCATTTGCAGCCAAACAACCGGCATAATTTACAACAACATCAGTCACCAACAATGACAAGGGAACAACGACCACCGCCGACAGCGACAGCAGCACCGCGGTCTTCCACACCACCTCCCATCTTTTGCGTCTTATTGTCACGTATGCGTGCTGCTGCGGTGGTGCCGGGCCAGCATGTAGTTGTGTGCGCTGAATATGAACGAAGACCAAAGGCAACTGAATTATTCCTGTGATGAATATTGGCTGCACTTCCCGTGGATCATCAATTCACGTGGTGTGCGGGGATCTCTCCTTTTTAATTGTCACTTTGCTTTTGTGTTGCTGTGTGCGCTGCACCTCCTCTTGTGTGTGTGCGTACCCTCCGTGAGGGGTGCCGACACGACGGACCGCTCTCGCCGTATGTGCATGCGGTGGAGCCTTGTGTGCCGCTCCTGTTTGCTTCTCCCTCTTCCATCTGTGTGTTGGTGTTGCGGCAGGGCTGAGTGTGCCTGTTGCCGTGGATTGGAGTGTGTGTGTTGTGCGTGGTGTGCGGCGTACGGTGCATGCCTGGCTGCTGCCCTCTCCTCATGTGGTGTGCCCTCTGTGTGTGTGTCTGCCGCACCTCTCGTCTCCCCTGTTGCTCTCCATGTCCCTCACTGTGCAGATCAGCTCCAAACCACTGAACGACCACACTCACGATGATGACGTGCCGTCTGCTGTGCGCCCTGTTGGTGCTCGGCCTGTGCTGCTGCCCGTCCGTGTGCACCTCAGAGTCTCCGGAGGAGAATGTTGATGATTCCAGGACGACGACGAACACGACAACACAGCCACCAACCGCTAACGGGCCGTCTGGCGCTGATGAAAGCGTCAACAGTCGTTCTTCTAATTCAGAGTCAGGACAACGGGTGGAAGGTGAGTCAGGGTCGCCAGGCGCGGGGGCCACTGCGGGAAAATCAGCAAATAGTGCGCCAGAGACACCAGGCTCTACCGGTCCGGAAAAGCAATCAAATGAAGCTTCCAGTGCAGTACAGTCAAATGGTACGAACGGTGCGACAGAGCCACCAAGTCCCACGGATCCTTCTTCAGACAAAGCAGATCAGGGAGTCGAAGATGCTGCCGAGACGACCACGACGACTACAACAAAGGCACCAACCACGACGACCACGACGACTACCACCACAACACAGGCACCAAGTACTACGACTACAACAGAGGCGCCAACTACGATGAGCACCCGCACACCGTCACGTCTGCGTGAAATCGACGGCAGCCTCAGCAGCTCTGCGTGGGTGTGTGCCCCGCTGCTGCTCGCCGTATCCGCGCTGGTGTACACCACTCTGGGCTGAAGAGGTGTATGCGGGCTGTGCGTGCCAGCACTCAACCACGGGGATTTGTGTGCGTCCACTGTGGTCCGATGTAATTAAATAAGAGAAAATAATGATTGTGTTTTGCTTCACTTGCTTCAGCTGCCCTGCTGTGTGCTCCGCATTGCTGCTCCCTGTATCCGTCACGTTGAACGCAACGCAGACATACTTATATGCACGACACGCACACAACTGTTTGCGTGGAATCACATTTGAGGATAGGTTTATGCACACGGGAGCCATACTGTGCAGTTCCTTTTATTAAATTTTTTTGTTGCTTTTTTACTTGTGTTTTTAATTGTTTTCTTTTTTTTCTTGCTGATTAATTACTGCAGGACTGTGCATTTGCCTTTTGTGCCCTCCCACTGATTCCAACTGCATCATAGTGTGTTTGTTGCTGCTGGTGGGCCGCCATTTGTCACTGTGCGGTTGCTGTGGCGTGGCTGTGTGACTTGTTTCTTTTTGCCTTTGCCTTTCACTTTGCGTTGACGGGGAGTTAGTTTCTGCTGAAGGCTACACGCAAGTGACAGGAGTGATGGCGATGATGATGACTGGCCGTGTGCTGCTGGTGTGTGCCCTCTGCGTGCTGTGGTGCGGTGCCGGATGGGTTTATGCGGGAGACGTCGAGAACAACGCAGGGGAAGGTTTCATGGCGTCGGGAGTTTTGGGTGTGAATCGGTTGCGTGTGCCAAGCGTATGTGGTAAGGTTGCGATCACGCTGCCCTCGCGTATGGTCTCGTTCATCACCGCCGCTGAAGCCTCGACTAACGATGATGCTTCTGGTATTATTGGAGGTAATCCAGACTCACCTTCAGGTGCTGCTGCTGCCGGTTCTGTTTCTGGTGGTGCAGGTGGAGCTGGAGGTAGTGGAGGAGGCGGTGGAACTTCTGGTGGCAGTGGCAATTCCGCTGGCGGAAGTGACGGTAACAGGGACACAACTGAAGATCCTAAAGGTGTTGGTGGTGGTTCTTTGCAGTCTCCTCCTTCAGTTGACCCTAATTCATCTCGCATTCCCAATGAGGTTGGTGAGTCACAGAACACAGAAGCTTCTTTATCCCCTGAGGAGACGATATCTCCTGAAGCAGCTGCGGAGTCGGGACCAACAGCGTCTCCAGGGAATACACCACCCAAAGTGGAGACAGCGGATAAATCGAAACCCAAAGAAGAAGAGAAAGAGCTCTCCGTCACACAAGCAGCAGCACCAATTTCAGTTAATGGTAATGCTTCAACTGGAGAACAGAATCCGCACAATGATGTGGGGAAGGTGGACCATTCCAGCAACCAAACACCACCGCCAGTACTGCCATCGGCGGTGACATCACCAGCTCCATCAAAAGAACCGGCACTTCCAGCAACAGAACCATCACCAAGCGATGGAAGCATACCAGCACCAAATGTCCCACAGAATGCAAAAGATCAAGAACAAAAAACGTCAGTGTTAACAATTAAAATGGAGTCCAATGCACCGGAAATTCCTTCAGAGGATAATGTGGTACAGCAACAAGGTCAAAACACAACCACAGAGGAATTGATGGAAACTTCATCTCGCGTCAGTCAAGCGGAAACAACAACAACATCCATATATACAAGTGGCACTGGCGAAGCCCAGAGTACGGCGGATGCGGATGATGCTCAACGGCCCAACCCCAGTGAATCACAGAACGATCTTGAAGGTACTGACATCATCAATTATCCTACAGCCAGTGAGGCAGCACCACAAACAGCAGAAACAGCTACCACCGCCCACAAAAATGATACGGCGGCGCCTGGCGACAGTGACGGCAGCACCGCGGTCTCCCACACCACCTTCCCTCTTTTACTTCTTCTTCTTGTTGCGTGTGCTGCTGCTGCTGCGGTGGTGGCCGCGTGAGAGTGAGGGAGAGAGAGCCGTGCACCGCCCGCACACACACTCGTCCTTCACCCACTCACTCTCTGTGTGTGTGTGTCCCCTTGCATGGACTCTCGCCCTCACCTCACCCCACGAAGCACACACATAATGTGCCCATTGTATATATGCATGCACACCCATGCATGCCCGTTGGTGCTCTCTTCTGCACGACACGCACCGCTGCCGTCCTGCCTGGCTGCATGGGCGGAGCACCGTAACTGTTTTTTTGTTTCCATTGCATTGAGTGGGCGACCTCTCTCTCTCTCTCCCTGTGTGTGTGTTTTGCTTTACGGGAGCAATGAGAGTGTGTGTGCGCTGGTCGTCCCACGCCTGTTTTTTTTTTTTTTTTACTTCTGTTGTGGTTGAGCACATCCATTGCGCTTTTTTGATCGGCGGCATGTTTTGACTGCGATCACTTTAATGCTCCCTTGTTATTCCCATATTGTTTTTCTTGTTGCTGAGGAAGGCGTCAGCCCCTCGTAATCTTGCCAAGCCACTCAGTGTTTCTTTCCGCGTGTGCCATGCGCCATTTTATCCACGTTGCCCGCGGCCAGCAGCGCTGTTTATTCTGCTTGTGATGATGTTTGTGGTGTGATTTGCCAGTTGGTACTTTTGTTTCACCTTGATGTATCCTTTTTCTTTTGACGCTGCGATACGTCCGACGGCGCGTGGTTGATTCTCCTGATGGTGAGGGACATGCCTCTCAGAGCGCAGGATGCGTCGCGGGTGGACAGCGGCTTTGGGAAGGACCGACGAGTGGCAGTCCGCATCAATGTGTCAACAAGGGACTTGGATGACAGCAGGAAGCACCGCGGATTCTCCTGGTGTCACGCAATGAATTCATTGAATGAAAACCGCCACTGTGAGGATGGTTTTCTATCCTCTGTGCACGGTAATATCCTTGCCGAGGAGACTGTCCCTGCTGCTGTCAAACTGCATGAGGATTGTCTGCTCGTCCGGCCACTGGAGGGTCCGTTGATTGTGTACTCATTTGCCACGGGCAGCGTTTGCAGTTGGTTCACGGTGCCTGATGGGCATCGTTCCACTGGTGTTCCCAATTCTGTCATGGTGATGTCCGTGGCTGCGGCGTCGGGTGGTGTGTGGGCACTGCGGTGCGTCGCGCTGGAGGATGGCCGTCCCGTCGCTGGCACCATGAACATTGCTTGTCAGTTTCATTTCACGGACGCATCGCCGCGCACCTGATGGCCCATGCTCTCGGGTTCAACTGCCCGCACATGGCCAGCCGCAGCATGGTGAGGAATGCTATTGGTGTGCGTGGCAGGGCGCTGTTGGTGATGGTGGACTCGACGAATGCCGCGATTTCTGCGAGGGAGCACCACGACTGCGACGAAATTGATGGCGTGGAGCTGCAGGATGACGATGGGGACGGGAGGACGCTGGAGTCCCACTGATCGCGGCGCCACGCGAGGGATGAGTGGATGGCACCGATTGTGGGCGCCGGCGACTGCAAAGTGCTCCGCACTAAACATGAGTGAATATCCCCACATGCTCTGCGACGTGGGTGTCCCTGTCAAACGCTGCGCGTCGGACTGGTATTCCAGTGCTCGCTGTGCAGACGGAGTATCCATGAAATGTCAGCCAAACGCCCGATGGGCCGTTGCCCCATCACTGATCCCGCACTGGATGTGAGGGATATTGACGCTGTTATTTGGAGGGGAGAATATTTGTCTGCGATGCCTGGGGATGAGCCCTCTTCGTGGTGTCTGGACACGCTTCCCAACAACACGACGGATGCGAGGAACCCGGAGGAGACACATCTCAGTGCTGCCATGCATGCGGCATTGAGGTGCCTCGGCATGCATTTGCATCTGGAAGTGACTGAAGAGGGTAACGTCCGTTGTGTTCCATGCACGGACGGGGCGACGATTGCGTGGGCCACTCGACCCTACGATGGGGGACCGTTATTTGCCGTGACCACGCGCAGGTGTGCACGATATCTTTCACCAGCGGTAGCCTACTTCCAGTGGTTTCGTGGGACGGCGAGGAGAGAGCATGTGGAGCAGGACGGTTTCACCGGCATATACTGAACAAGGATTGCCAGGGGCTTCCGTCCCCGTTGCGGAGAGCATTGAGACCGACCGCGGCACACCACCGAAGGATGTAGACACAGCTGCTCTCCAGAAGCATCCGTCGCCAGAGGAGAAGTGGATCCGGCCAGGATGCCCCGACAGACCGCAAGAAGCTTCTCTCGGTGGCAGGGATCGAAGCAGCGAGACGGACGGCAGGCAGGACACGTCTCCGACTCCCGGTGATGACACTGCTGCTGCTTGTCCCTGTCCGCTGCTTCTTCTGCTTGCCTCTGCTGCCGCCGTGGCAACACTCCATCGAGTTGCGGTGTGGACGGCGTTGCGCTGCGAGGCGACTGCGCTTCCTCCTGCGTGGCCTGCACTCAGCACTGGATGCCCAATAGGAAAATATTCATTTCAATGGGTTCCTTTCTCCATATGCATGTGCTGTGTCCGCTCCGTTTTTGTGTTTGAAATTGGTGGTATTTACGATGCACACAGGTCTTCTTGTGTTGGTTGCCGATGTTGGGGGCACCAGATGGTCGTATGGCATTGCTTGTGTGTTTGTTAGATTTTCTGAGACGCACATACACAAAAAGCGGTGTGAGTGAAATGTGCGCAGACAAGAGACACACACACACATATCCAATCACATTTTCTTTGTGACTTGTGCTTGACATATTATGCGGGGCGGGTTGGTGCGAGCAAGGCCGACGGAAGAGGGGCAGCCGCGTGAGCCCAGCAATGGCGTTTGTGGTTGTGTGCGGGATTGTATATTCCATCAGATGCTTGACGCCGTTCATGGATCGTCTAAAGTTTTTCTCCGCGATGCCCATGCTGCGTCTGCGCTGAGCTGCTCACTGCGTCTTCATGACCTCATGGGGCACGACATGACGCTGCTCGAGGACCCCATGACACCGAGGCAGCCGTTTATGAGTAGCCCTGCGCCCTACTTTTTTCCGTGGAGGATGCGTCTGTGAGCCGCGTGGTTGAGGATTGGATGGCAAAGGTTGCTTACAGGGATGTACACGTCTTTGCGCTGGGGTGCACCCCGCATCGCAGTCCTC